AATTTTTTGTCACTTTTTTTTTCCTTTATTTTTTCTCTTAAAAAAAAAACTGTGTGAGGCGTATGAATTTCAATTAATACTTTGAACTGTAATGTATTATAGAATTAACATTCTATTTGGTATGTTATAATGAAACTTTTCCGGGTTATCGATTACACACACAAATTATTGTATATATATATAACTGAATTGGACCGTCGTGTCCTTTGAATTGATTTAATCTACTTATCTAATTTGATTAAATAGTACGTAAGTTTATCTAATTTAAATTGATTAGGTCTAAATTGAATTTATCAACCTATTTATAGTGATAAGATAGATAATTTTATCTACTTATTTGAATTGATCAAGTCCACCACTTCCTTATGGTATTGCTGAAGATGCTTCAGAAAGACCAATTTAAATTATTGCGTTGGTTTAGCGGACCTTGCTTGTGGATAAATGTATCGGCATTATGCAAATAAAAAAATGGTCAAAAGGTGGATGTAAAAGGATGGTGTCGTTTCAGACACGAGAGAATCTAGTAAATTTTATATTTGATTGCAATCATTTCTACTAAATGTCTTTTGTGGGACCCTGCTATGGAAATCGAGAACACGACCTATAAGATGCCAATTGAAACCTTTGTTTGAAACTGAAGTGGGTGGAAAGCCTTTGTTTAAATGCTAAGCCAGAGGATCTTGTACTTGTCCTTTTCAGAGTTACTTTTAGGATAAACGCACAAATGTTACCAATGTGTGTGTGAGTGTGTATACTTTATACTTTCTGATGACAGTGATTGGTATGTGTTTTTCAAAATCTTGATTGACAAATGAACTTTAAGTTTGTATTGCCAAAAGGTGCAATATTGTTTGTGCTATCTTAGCAAACAATATTCTGGTGTTTTGAGCTCTTTTTGAGGGTTTAATTGAAAAAAGAGTTTTGCCTACTCCATCTTTGGGTATCATTTTAATCTCAGTGCCTTTATATTGTTCCATCATTTAAGGCTAAATCATAAGCGGAATAGTGGACGCTAACAGATCGTTATATAATCTGTACTTTTCTTTTCTTCCGGTCTTATTTGTTACTGAAACGTGTTTTATGCATTTTCTGGTTTAAAAGCTTAATTATAAATTATGAATGCAATATTGCAGATGTTCTCTTTTCCCGAGAGAGAGCAAACCCAAAATATGGAAGGAGAAAGACACTGCATTCTTATTGCCGCAAGCAACCCTTACCCTTTACGCACTTATGTATATCGACGACCATTCCAGGATCCCAAAAAGACTGATTTTATTGAAACATGGATCGGTAATTGTCTTTCTGATGAAGAGGCATTGGCTAGATCTTTTTCTCAGGTAATGGTAATAAGACTGTCCTTTACTTGCCCTATTGATCTCCCAATTATGTGATCATTAGTACATGGCCATCCATGAAGTTGTTATCTGATTCTTGAAAAAATAAAATGTATAAACGCCCTTGAAAGTTGAAATTGTGAAGACTACGCTTGAAAAAGGTTATAAAGTTTTTGCCTCAACTGTTGGTTAACTTCACAGAAGAATATATGATGTCATTATATTTTATGATCACATCAATCATTCATTTGGCTCTTTTTAAAAATTGTTTGATGATATTACCAATTTCCATTACTTGATAGATTTTATTCACTTGCAGTCTGCTATTTCTCTCTCCATTATCTGTCCGAAGCAGCTTCCAAAACTTAGAAGAATCTATAATGCGGTACTGATGGTTATGTTAACTTCATATTTTTTCTCTTCGGGCAAAAAAGAAAAAAAAAAATACCTGTTTTTTTGCCTTTGTTTCATTCGCCATTAGTATATGCTGATGTGATCCACACTGTAAATATAGGGAAAGTGCGACCCTCGAGCTGAAGATCTGCCTGTAGTCAGTGTCAAGAATCCCCATTTCCTTGTACTTATTTCGGAGAATTTTATGGAGGCCCATTCTTCTTTAGGGCCGTCTAACAAGAACCCTGCCATGATGGATATTGTGACTGCTGTTCCTCCTGTTTCTGGGACACCTCCAGCTTCTGCACCAGCAGCAGGTGAGACGTTGTATGCTGAACATCTTTTTTCCATTTTTAGGTAGAACGATAACTTCAGCCTCCACTGCGCCAACTGTAGCATCAGTATTTGGACAGAAAACATCGAGCACCACAGAGCCAGCACAGTCCAAGTATGTTAAAGTGTGGGAGGTAAGTAATGTTTTCAAAGTAGTTTCATAAAATTAGAATAGAAATGGACTACTGTTGGGTTCTCTGTAGAGATTTTGTTCTGTTGTCCGGTTTTGTGGAGCAGAGCAACTTGTATAAGTACTTCTAGAAGGAAAGGGTCACCTTAAGTTTTTTTTTTTGTTTTTGTTTTAGTTTTTTGTTTGATTGTTTATTTATTTATTTATTTTTCATATTGAAGAGGAAATCATAATGTAAGGGTCACCAACATCAGTTGTGAACGCTAATATTTTTAGAAAGTGGAGAACTCGATAAATCTTTATATTTTTACCTGAAACGAGGTTCACAGTCCGTGCTTGTCTAGTGCAACATTTTTCCATTTTGTCTCCTTTCTAGATACATCATCAGTAGATAATGCATATACATCTATAGGCAGCTACAGAATTTTTAGCATGATAATAAGGTATGCTCTAAATTTATATGATGGAATAATCCAGGGAAACTTAAACGGACAGAAACAAGGTCAGCCAGTTTTCATTGCCGGACTGCAGGTATCTATTACTTGAAATAATTTAGCGAAGAAAATAAATAAATTATAAATAGGCTACTACTGCAATGATCATATTGGATGCTGTTCGGCATTTATTCATGGTTCTGTTGTCATTAGCTTCTTAGCACGTTTATAAATTCTACTCGAATTCTTTCTTTTTCCTTGAAAAAATAAAACACGTGCACTTGTACCAGGGATACAGGAAAGCTACAGCTTCTGAGATGTAAGTTTGCTTATGCTTGTTATTACTCTGTGGTACTATTTCTGGAGAAAAAGGGTGATTATGAGAATGCTGCTGGCCTAAAATACCGATATATTTATGTATTTTGTTTTATGTGTTTTTACTGTTTAGGTAACACTTAAACTGACCTGAAATTGTAGCTTTTTCCTGGTCATTTTCACACTTCCTCAGGCTTGCTGCAAATTGGCCTCCAGTGATTCAGATAGTTCGACTCGTATCTCAAGATTATGTTACCAGGTAATAAATAGTATCTCCTATAGACAAAAATTATGATTCTGTTATCAAGTAAACTTCATTTTCATTCCCTTTAGAATTGTGTGCTTGTGTTTGGGATTTTGACTTTTCTATCTGTTGTGTTAGGCAATTCGCGAGAAAGTCTGATATAATTGTTTTTCGGGCATTGAATCAGCATGCCTTTCTTTCACAGCTGCATGAAAGAAAGCTCGTAAGACTTTTTCTCAATGCAAAACCTCAAATTTCATTTTCCTACATATTAAACTTTGCAGTTTCAGGAACTTAGTGGACACTTGCAATATTTCTTTTTTATTTTCTTTAAAAAAAATAATAAAAAAAAGGATTATGCTATGTTAACTGTAATATCCTCACAGTTTCTTCTTTGCATATGCTTGTTTCAGTGTGGCGTTATACCGTTACCATCCCAGAAGACTCTGCTGCTCTCGGTATCTGGCAAAGGGCATCGTTTGATTGGAATGCTTATTCCTGATGTAGGACGTTTATTTTCTTTCTTCTGCTTAATATTATTATTTTTTTTAATCTTTCGCACTTTATATAATTTTTAATTATCCAATTTCCTTAACTTCTGTAGGATACGGTGGTATATAAGGCGCGGGTACCAAGCCAGCAACTACAGATTCAACAACAGAATGTACAACAACAAACAGCTTATATTCAAGGTGCCGAACGGTCTCAGCTAGGACAAGGCTCGTCACAAGGGCCCACGAAAACCATGTCCGGAGGATCCTTCATGAGTTGACAATAATTTTTCTAGCTCAAAAAAATGATTTTAATTTTGGATTTATTTTTTTTTTTCATTTTTTTGGTTTTATAAATATTTGCTCATCTACTCTAAAAAAATGTGCAGGTGCTATGCTGTATAGTTTAGGCTCATGATTAGAAAAGTATCGTTTGCTGGAATGTTTATGAGGTTTTATAATTCATATGGGATTTTAAAATAGAAGATTTGAAACTTATACATTTTAAGTTCTTTTGAAATAACTTTAATTTTCTCAATCCAAACATAGCCTGAATTTGATATTTTTTACTTTATAATCCTTTTGTTAAATTTCAACGGATTCTCAATCCAAACACAGTTTGGATTTGATACTTGTTGCTACAAAATCCTTGGTTAGATTTCAATGGATTTGAGAAAGGATTCAACTCCAGAGCTGTGGTGGTGTTGGCTCACAGTGGTTGCAAATTTTGAACATGTAGTCTTTAAGAGACGGGGAAAATTGGTGCGGTCTCACGCACGTGAAGCGCACCAAGACAGAGAAAACTCAGAACCAATTGGTAAAAGGACGAGTAGTCCATTAGACTTATAAATTATGCTTACTTTCCCCATATAAACGATTTCATGCACCAAGACAGGGAAAACCCAAATGCAAGTAAAGTTTCATCCCAAAACTAATTGGTGAAAGGAGTAGTCCATTAGACTTATAAATTATGTCTATTTTCCCTATATAAACAATGTGAGACAAATCACAAGTGAATATTCTAAATACGATCTCTCACTTGTGAGTTCTTAATAAAAAGCCCAAGTCCATATACGGAGCTGGGTGCCCAAGCCATACTAGCAGCAGACTTCAATATACGGGTACGTGGGGAAAAACGGATACGTCATTGCACGGTCCCAATAGAACCGACTCTAATACCATGTAAGAAACGGGGGAAACATGTGGGGTCTCACGCACGTGAAGCGCACCATTGCACGGTCATAGAACCGGCTCTGATACCATGTAAGAAACGGGGGAAACAAGTGAGCTTCACCATTGCACGGTCTCAATAGAACCGACTCTGATACCATGTAAGAAACGGGGGAAACAAGTGCGGTCTCACCATTGCACGGTCCCAATAGAACCGACTCTGATACCATGTAAGAAACGGGGGAAACAAGTGCGGTCTCACGCACGTGGAGCGCACCAAGACAAAGAAAACTCAGATGAAACCTAAGTAAGGTTTCATCCCAAAACCAATTTGTGGAAAGATGAGTAGCTCAGTAGACTATAAATTAGGCCTATTTTCCATATAAACGATGTGGGACAACTAACAAGTGAATATTCTAATATAGTTAACATGGCACTCAACAATTTGATTATATAGTATTTAAATATTTCAGACATTATGATATGGCTCTTCTAAAATATTGAATTACTAAAAATATGTATGACAAACATCCATTTTTTTTTTTTTAAATAATATTACCTAAATCAACAATCCAATCTTGTCAAGACATGATTTGATAAAACAGTTGTTAAATCAATATAACAATTAGATTAATTCATATACAGAATACCAATTTCATAAAGATAAAGATAATTACTAAAAAATATATATAATAAGTTCTTGGAACCCAATTGTTCACTATTTTTATCACAGATTAAAAACATTTCTCATAATAAACTCTACTTATTATTTGCTCCCGAAGAAAATTTTATAATCAATGTATATATTTTAATTATTTGCTAAAAATTTTAAATTCACTTTTGGATTAAGAAATAGAGAACTACAAATATTATTATAAATAGTAAATAATGCAATACAATTTTTTTTTATTTGTTAAGTGATTTACTAATTTAAAAATGAAAGAAAAAATTGTATAAATAAAGATTAAATCCACATAATTATTTAGTATGGCATTCCATAAAATTCCACCATAATTTAACAAAATTCATTTGCAATCAATGTAGTTCAATAAATTGATATATTTTTTACAATGTATGAAATTTCTTATTAATAAAATTTTTTCTTAAAACATACAATTGGTTTGAGGATTACTATAACAGAATTGAAAAGCCCAAACCAAAGATATGTTTGTTTACATACATTTATATATGGGATAAATTCAATTGGACTCATATTAATTAATTGAATTTTTAATATAATGAAAAACAATAATTATCATATTATAATTAACTATACAATAAACTATCTCAATTGACTGGCGATGATCGTCAGTCAATGGCGACAACGACAACGACATGGTAAGTTTCAAGGCCACACGTTCTTAATGTCACGACCTTTCTTGAAATTGTAATTTAATCACGACATTTTCATTTTTGTACAGCATATCACAATCTTCAGTTTGTTGCAAATTGGTGCACAAATTCTTAAAAATCAACCCTGAAAAGCTTATATAACCCAAGAACAAATTGAAAATTATGAGATAGTTTGAAAAAAATGAAAACATCGTGATTAAATTATAATTTTTTTAAAAAAAAGGTCGTCATATTAAGAGCAATTTTGTCTTAAATCTTCTGATTATATATTGGGAATGAGGAAATCCACCATAAATTGAATTTACTAAGAAAAGACAGTGTTTTTTGGGTTAATTAATTATGAATGAGAAAGTGGAACGGTTGAGCAGAGTCATTAATAAGCGCTGTACAAAAAAGCCATAAATCACCATTTATCTTCTTCATCATAATCTTCTCTTTTCTTGAACTCCATTTGCAGACAACAAGAGCCCAATACAACTTCTCAAAGGTAACTCAAATTCAAATATAATTTTTTTTTTTTTTTTTGGTACAGGGACCTTCGGTTTCTGGATCCACAGGGAAACCGACTAATCCGGAATCGAGGCGGGTAGGACCAAAATTCAAATGCAAAACTAAATGTTAACAAAATAATAGAGATGTGAAACAGTGAAATTAAGACCCATTTTTTTCCTTTTCCATAGGTAATTTGTTTTTTATACTTAAGACTACTTTTGCATGTCACATGTAAGTTAGGCCTGAAAAAAAGATGAGCTATAGTTGTGAATCTGATGTTCTCTTTTAATTTTTTTTAGACATGCATTTGGATTTTGGTTATTTTGATTTATATCGATCCCGATAAAAATTTCAATGGTATAGCTTCTATTGGAATGATTCCAACCAAAAATCCAATGAAATTATTCTGTTGGAAGGAGTTTTTTTTCATTGGAATTTTAGTTGAAATTCGATAATTTCAACGACTACTCTTTAAGTTATAAATCGTAGGAATTTGTGTTGGAATTTCTATTTCTGCCCATATTTCAACTGTTGGAACTGTCAAAAAACTCAACGGAAATTTTAATGAAAAATTTCATTTCCACGAAATATTTTTGTTGGAGTTTAAATCCATTGAAAAATTCAAATGAAATGATTATCAATTGAAATTGCTGTTGGAATTCTATTTTAATATATATTTCTGTTGGAATTTTTTCTGATGGAATTTCAACAACTTCTTATTTATAGTGATTGTTTTTTAAAGTATGTTATTTATTTATATATATGAAAGTAACAAGAATAAATAAATGCAATACAATTATCATAAAAACAAGTTAAAAGAGAATCTAAAAATAGCAAATCATATACATTTGTTGTGTAGTGGCCATGTTTATGATGAATGACCAATTTGTGAGCCAAAATTTTGATGTGTACAAGGAATAATATTGTAGAATGACAATAACAACCCTCATATTCTTAGTCAATTTTAAGCCTCTATTGGTGTCATATACAATCATTACATTTCATTTAAGATTAGCATACATATATATATATATATATATATATATATATATATATATATATA